ATAAAAGCTATACAACTTAATGGATCGAAACATCCTTATTCTGACTGGTTGGGTCAGATCTAATTCATAGTATTTTATCATAAAAATTTTCCAAAAATAACGTCATTCCTAATCGTTCGGTAAATTAAATGTGAAATGTGTGAAATAGTTTTCCACAGTTTTTTACAGCATATGTTTGCAAAAAAAAAGTTAGGGTCACCAGCAGACTGACCATCAAGGATACAGCATTGCTCAAAATAACTGGAAAAGTAGCCATTTACGTAGTTGGGGAACCATGCCAAGAATTGCAGCCGATCAAAGCATCAGTACGCATATCTTAGGAAATGCTTTTCCACTGTTCAACTATATCTGTGCTACGTAAAAAGTCTTTTCAGATTACTATGCCACAGAAGTCGCACAAGAATCAGTTTTCGAAAAGTTTCTGGATTTTGTAAGTTACTTGAAATGCTTTCAAAAAAAAAAAAAAATCCCGTGAAACTTTCCACGTGACCCATGGAATCCAATTTCTTTCCTTTTTTTTTCACGTCAGTTTCCCGACTAAAGTGAAATCTCAGTAAGTTGCTAAGTAACGAAAATGTTTATTCATAATTTAGATCAGGACTGATTTTCTATGCTTAGTTGGGCTGCACCTGAAACAGTTACTTGCCCATCACTACTCTTATAGACGAAGATAAATTATTCACAATTTAACACCATACACAGATTTGAAGAGAAAGAAAGCGAAGCCATGCGCGCATTAGACGAAGGAATGGAAAATTTTGCTGATTTTTTTTTCTTCTCCCGAGAAAATTTCCTCGAAATTCAACGGCATTCCCAAACTTTAATTGTCATCTCCACGCTTGACGTCACCACGTACGGTAGCTTTGGATGAAAATCTGAAAATAATTATTTCAGGAAAAATTGAGAACAAAAAAAAAAAAATCTGAAGACCAAAAATTTGAAAATCTGAAAACAATTTTAGCTTATAATCGGCTCCGCAACCAAGGAACTAGTGACCTTCCCAATTGCTTTGTTAAAAAGTGCTGCTTCACCTAATGGTGAACCGGCTGACCATCCTGACGCCCTCGTTTCATCTCTCCTAACAGAATTTTACCGCCAGTTTTCCCAATCAATGCAACTGAGAAGGCTTTTTTAGTTGCTTCAAGATGTCCTTGGTGCGACCTTTCTGAGGGAAATGGCTATACTAAGCTAAGAGG